ACAAACAAACTAAATGCAATAAAAGAAATATATATGTATATAGCCCTTCCCCATCAACAAAATCAAAACCAGCATTGCGAACAGGTACCACCGGGCACCCAATCAACTCCGGCAAGCTCAACCACGACCTGCGAGCCTGTTCCAAAAACTTCCCACAAGTGCCTAACCGAAGCATACCCCCAAGCCCCAAGCCACACCCGGAAATTGACCTGACCCACATCCGGAGAACAACCACCCTCGCTCCCCACACCATCCGTACATCGGACCAAACCAACACCACTAGACCAGTCTGACTGCACCAGCCTCCTCACTGACCCCACAAGTGCTTAACCGAAGCATACCCCCAAGCCCCAATCCACACCCGTAAATTGGCCCGACCCACATCCGGAGAACAACCACCCTCGCTCCCCAAACCATCTGTACATCGGACCAAACCAACACCACTAGACCAGTCCGACTGCACCAGCCTCCTCACTGACCACACACCACATATCAGAGGAGAAGGGGCATCGAGGAAATCGCCCCAACTTCGGCCGCCACAGCCAAAAACTGTGAGCAGCCCGACCCACGTCCTGCCCCCGTCGCCATGCCCCTCCCTGAAATACCCCGAAACCCAAAGACACCAATAGACCACACCCACCCGCTGATACCATTATTTTAGGAGAAGCTCGTTGATAGACGACACTCCATAGCCCCTGGCCAGAGTAGACAGAAAATGGAGCACGAGCAGGGCCAAGAGCGTGCGGATTAGGGCCGACCACCGGCTATTGTCCGGTTTGCCAATGAGATGGGCACTCGGCCAGCAGATCAAAAGAGACGAGGGGAGACGGCAGTATTGGGGATTTTTTAGGAAAGGGTTTAACAACCCTTTTTTCTCGGACCCAAACATCAGCAACTCCTTAAAGCTGTCGGCCCTAGCAGCCATGAGATCTAGTCTTCAACAAGCTCCATGAGAATCTGTCCCAACTCCTCCCCTCTCGGTCAATGCAGAAGCCCTTGCCTCTATTTAAACACCTTAAAACTCAGCAACCTCTATCATTTGCCCACTTCAGAATTCACCAAAAGAATTTTCTAAGACCTCAACAAGTTTTTTCCCCTCGGCAAGAAGAAGGTAAAGCTGTCAAGCAAGCACCACCCGAGGAGACCCGAGAGGAGCCGAGCGTTACAGCGAGCAGACGAGCAAAACAAGTCTGGAGAAGATAGGGAGCAATGAACCGAGCCATTTCCAACGCACTCGAGCATCCAAGTGTCCGAGAACCCAACAACAACCAAGAAGCCGAGAACACTAGCATCAGAATCAAGCCTTTTCAGCCACCTTTCTCATTTTGTTTCTAGAATAAAGGTAACCAAGCTTTAAGCCTTGAGTTGTCCTTTTTCTGGCCGAGTTTAGATGGTTTAAAAATTCAGTTAAAGAAGAAATGATTAGTACGGAAAGGTTTAAAATGATTTAAGAAGAAATGAGAAGCAAAGTTTGTAGTATTTTGCATTGATTTCGTTGAGTTGGTTGAGCCTTAGTTTTGGTGTAAATCTTGTTGCAAAATATGTCAAATTTTCAGCAAAGAAGAATTAAAATGCATGCCTTAAGATTTAAATTAAAAGAAAAGAAAAGTGAAGGAGAACTCTAGCCTTTGGCATAGATTGATAAGCTTTCATATGAACCTTTAGCATTGGTTATGATATGGGATATTATATACCAGACCGGTTCGTTGGGTTAACTGGGAAAAATAGATCAGTGGTCTGGTCGAATTGGACCGAACATCCCCAATTAAGGAAAGAAGATAGACAGTGGAGAAGAACAAGTATTGGGGGCTTGAGCATCTGGTCGAGAAGAGTGATCAAGGGGTTATGGTCGAGGATTCGACTATATTATGCCTCAGAGATAGCTCAGCGTTCACTAGAGATCTGGTCAAGCATCAAAACAGAGGAAAGAGCCTCCAGCACGTGGAAGGAGGACACGTGGCGCTTCACGAGTGGCCCGCGGCTATAACAAACTCTGACATTCTCTGACAGATTCGACGCGTCTGACATCAGGGATAATGGAGACGCGCGGTTGTACAGACGAGCAGAGGACAACTGGCCAAACTCGCCCACGACGTGCGTGTAGAACAGGTAGCTCGTCCCTATAAATAGGGACGAGAATCCTCACTTCTAGACACAATCTCTCATACTCTTACATATTTACACACGCATATTTTATCTCTCAAGATCTAACTTGAGCATTGGAGGCTCTTCACCGGAAAACACCTCCGGTGTGGGAGTTTCTTGCAGGTTCCGCATTCAACCGGCGAGGAGAACGAGCTTGAGGCAGTTTTCAGCCGGTCGGGGTGCGAGACTTGTATTATTGGCAGAAAAGCAATTGAAAGGCAATGAAAAGAGGCCTGATCGACCAGAAGGGTCGAGGTCGAAGGAGGAGAGGGGACGACAAGACAAGAGAAAAGAGAAGATAGACATACAACCTGGGGGCGAGGTCGAAGAAGTTCAGATGGTGCAGGGGTGTGATGATCGCAAGTTCAGGATTGGAAAATACCTGGGAGAGTCGATCAGGTCGAAGCTGGTCAGTTTGATAAGGGAGTTCGCGGACATCTTCGCGTATACGACGGATGAGCTAACGGGGATTGAGGCCAGGGTGATCGAGCATAGGCTGAATATTGATCTCAGCGTGAGGCCAGTAAAGTAGAAAAAGAGACATCATGGCGTGAAAATGGACAAAATAATCGAGCAGGAGGTCGAAAAGTTGTTAAACGCCAGACATATCAAGAGAATCCAGTTCCGACATATCAAGAGAATCCAGTTCTTAGAATGGTTGTCTAACACGGTGATGGTGTCCAAATCAGGGGGAAGGTGGAGGATGTGCATTGACTTTCGTGACCTGAATAAGGCGTGCCCGAAGGATCTGTACCCACTGCCACGGATCGACCAGCTCGTAGATTCCACGGCGGGGTGCAAACTGCTCAGTCTAATGGATGCCTCGCTTGGGTACCATCAAATTCCCCTCGCGAAGAAAGATTGGAAGAGGGTAAGCTTCATATCGAGCAAAGGAACCTATTACTACGTGGGTATGCCATTTGGGTTGAAGAATACTGGGGCAACTTACCAAAGGCTGGTCGACCAGATTTTCAAAGACCAATTGCGAAAGAATATGGAAGTATACGTCGACGACATGTTGGTGAAGAGCAAGGTGGAGGCGGATCATGTGGACAACCTGAAGGGAGACTTTCCAAACGCTGAGGAGGTATGGCATGAAGCTTAATCCAGCCAAGTGCTCATTTGGTGTGAAAGAAGGGAAGTTCTTAGTCTATATGGTGATGAAGCGGGGAATAAAGATAAACCCTGAGAAGATGAGAGCGGTGATAGAAAT